AGCTGAAGGCATCTTTCTAGATGAACTGAAACAGGAACCCTTTGCAACAGCTTTTTTCTTTGCAGATACAAACTGAAAAGATTTTTTCCAGAAGGGGTGAAAAAAAAACCCAAATTGTATCCAGTTCTGCTGTAATGTAGACCCAGCACCAGAACCATGCACTAAACCCGGGTATTTGCAAGTCGCTTTGCCCAGCACATCAAGAAACCCACAAAATGTTCATCCGGTCTGTAAAACAGGGATCACCCATCGAGTTGGGCGAGTAGAATCTCCCACAACCCTTCTCCTCTGATGGCAGAGGCAGGGAGATCTCTGCCCTGCTGTTTCCATCGTCGTCGGAAGGGAGATGAGCCCACAGCCCTTCCTACCAGCATCCCGGCGGATAACCGGCAGTCCGGGGTTCATTTTGCTGGGAATGACGTGTGGGAGCAAAGCAGAATGACCGACTCCGGGCCCTTGCACAAGGCTGTTGTGAAAGCACCCAACCTGCCACCGAGCACAAGCCCATCCCGCTCCTCACGGAATCCCGGCTCGGAAGGAACCTCAAGGATCAGCTTGTCCAACCTTTGTTGGCAAAAGCCTGGGCTAGACAGGATGGCCCAGCACACTGGGGAATCCACCACCTCACTGGGGAGGTTATTCCAGTGGCTGACTGTTCTCCTGGTGAAAAATTTTCCTTTTGTGTCCAAGTTACTGGAGGCTGGAATCTCCCCAGTAACTGGTACCCATTCCCCCACCTCTTTTCCATGCGACTCCTTGTAAAAAAGGGAGTCTCCATCTTCGTTGCAGCCACCCTTTCCACACTGGAACATGGTGATAAGGTCTCCCTTAAGCCTTCTCTTCTCAAACTAACCCAATTCTCCCAGCCTTTCCTCACATGGATTCCCAGTCCCTTGATCATCTTTGTGGCCCTTCTCTGGGACCTCTCCAGCCTGGCCACAGCTTTTTTTATACAGCAGGGACCAAAACTGATCTCAGCCCGAGATCTCAGGGGGATGCGAGCAGGAGAATCGCTTCTTCCCTTACCTGCCTGGCTCTTCCCTAATTCCCAACTACCCACCACACTGGAGGTGATCTCCATCTAACCTGGATGGCAGATGATCTCCATCTCACCTGATGGCGGGCACATCCCCACCACCAAGCAAAGGCTGAGGCACGTGCTGTTTTATTGAAGTTTTATCCTGGGGTTCCCTCCCTGTGCACCCCATTTTGCCTAGGATAAGGCTGAAAGAACAATCAACTCTAAAAACCTGCAAGCTTCCAGTTTAATGGCAATATTCTACACTAACCCACAGTCACCCATAGCCTGGAATAAGTGGGCGAGTTTTCAGTGTTTTTCCCTAGTGTGTGCATTTAATGCTGATTAGCTTGAGTCTTATCATCTCCACACCATTTACTGATATAAATTACAGCTTTTTAGAACTATGTGGTTCATTCCAACAGAGGCCATCTCTCTGCAGACCAACCAACCTGCGGGAATTGCATTTTTCAGCAAGCCAGACGGCGGCCGTGGCTCTTGCTAGAGCATGGGAATGGCGAGTTGCTGGCAAAGCCCCTGCACATGTGCACGCAAAAAACAGGAAGTTCAGACAAAGCATTTCCACAGAGCAAACCCCGCTCAGCTGCACCGGCCCCCGCGGCTGCTGCTCCGCACCCGGGTCTGCAGGGAGCCCTGGGATGGGGATGGAGTGGAGAGAGGGGGAACACGCAGGGATGGAGGGGGGGACATGTAGGGATGGAAGGGAGGGGACACACTCAGGGTTGGAAGGGGACACACATGAAGGGATGGCAGAGGAGGGGAAGATGCAGGGATTGAGTAGAAAGGGGGGGACACACAGAGGGATGGAGTGGAGAGGGGGGGACATGCAGGGAGGAACATGCAGGGATGGAAGGAGGGGGGACACATTCGTGGATGGCAGAGGAGGGGAACACGCTAGGATGGAGTGGAAAGGGGGGAACATGCGGGGAGAAACACGCAGGGATGGAAGGGGGGACATGTAGGGATGAGAGAGGGGGGACAGATTCAGGGATGGAAGTGGGGGAACACACGGGGATGGAGTGGAAAGGGGAAAGACACGCAGGGATGGAGTGGAAAGTGGGGGGGCACGCAGGGATGGAGTGGAAAGGGGGGGGACACGCAGGGAGGAACACGTAGGGCTGGAAGGGGGGTGGACACACACACGCAGGGATGGAGTGGAGAGGGGGGACACGCAGGGAGGATGCAGCCGCCTGGGTCTCCCGCACACCCCCACCCGCGGGGGGCTGGGGGCGGAGGGGCGGCGCAGGGCGAAGGAAAGGGCGGCGGGGCCGCGGCAGCGCAGGGGTTAACGGCCGCGCACTTGCCGCGCCGCGCCCCCGCCCCCGCCAATCAGCGCGCCGACGGCCGGCGGCCCCGAGCGCTGCCATGACCATATAAGGTAAAAAGCCGCGGCCGCCGCAGTGCCGCTGCGGCGGGAGCGGGTGCGCGCGCGCGGCGGGGCGGGAAGGGCGGGGGAGCTGGGAGCGCGGGGCGCTCAGCCCACCCCAAAAACACACACACACACCCCCACACACACCCCGACCCCCTGCCCCGGGCCGGGAGCCGCCAGCCTGGCAGCGAAAAGCCAGCGCCACAACAACAACAAAAAAAAACCCATTATTAGCGAAACTTGGAAAGGAAAAAGACATTTAAAATGAGGAAAAACTCCCTTTCTGTGATCACGCGGGCCCTTTGAAGCGCAGGCTCGGCTCAGCCCTCACGAAAGGTGAAGCCACATGAGAAATAATACAGAATGACCCGCACAGCGCGGGATTTGAGCGGACATGATGCCATTCAGTTACAGGAGGGACGTTTTCCCCGCAGCCCCCTGCATCAAGGCTCTGAACTGCAGTGAGTGTATTTTGATGGCTCGATTTTAAAAATCATACCCAAACCATGGTTTAAAATTGACCTTCCCCCCCCCCCTCCCGGAATATAACAGCGAGGATCTTGCTGCAGGAACTTGCTGAAAACCTCTGCCAAAGGGGCTCAACCAGAAATCAAAGTGTTAGGGTGTTGAAGGAACTGAAGGAATAATTTCATCAGCCGAAGCTATAAAAATAAATGAGGAACATAGGAGCAGGCTAGAGCAAAGCCAGCAACGTGTTGCATTGCAAAAGAAAGTGTCAGGCTGGGGGGTTTAGGAAGAGAGTTCCTCCAGCTTTGCTTCATATATGAGGTTTTTGAAACCTTATATATGAATATTAAATAGCTGTATAAGACAGGAACATGGCTGAGGGCACAAAGGCAATGACAAATACAGAGGAGAGCAGGAAGAATAATGGAATACACTTAAACCCCCTCAAAGCGTAAGATGGCACTTAAAAATGAAAAAAAGGCCAGATCACACAGAAGTAGCAGGAATTTCTGCCAGGGACTGAAAAAACATCCGGGAGGTAAGAGAAAAAGAGGGGTGCACGTCCTCTGCCATCGGCGGTTGTGCCGTGATGCAACAGGAGCGCAACCGTGTGCGGTGTTGAGCAAGGAATTTCTAACCAAGGTCTGTCCCATCGTGTGTGGCTTGGGCAAGAGCAGGACACGTGGCCCGAAGAGGAGCACAAACCAGAATCCTTGCAAAGAAGCGCTGTTAAATAAGAGGAAGAAAATGGAGAGCTATTTAAGGAGGTTAGGGGTTTGGCTTGCTTTGCTTAGCACAACTGAGGCATAAGTGAGAACTCTCTGCCTCTGTTCCTGTAATGCACTTGCCATGTGGGATGCTATATTCAATTCTGGTCACTATTTCTATATATAAACAGGGCAGATCTGCAAATGGAGCTAGGGAAAAAAAGGACAGGGCTGATGACAGACTGAGGATATCTTAAGTGTATAGTTAAGAGAAAAGCTCGAGGGTCACGAAGAAACTAACGTTACAGAAAAAGACTTTCATCGCAAGAATTTGCTGGTTAAGCACCAGGAAGGGTGATGAGAGCACCGCTCTCCAACAAGGGTGGAAGAAAGATGCTCTGTGATTTTTTTTTTTCCCATGCAGTATCAGGGGGCAGCAGGAATTTGTTCCAGTCTGAGACACTGCTCCTGTTCATTTGGGTGCTTTTATACCCGAGACTGCCAGGAAGGCTTCTGTACTCATCTTTCCAGCCTCCTTCCAAACCTGTGATCCGGCCATTCTCACGGCCGATGGACAGGAACCAAACTTTTCTGTGTGTTTTGCAAAGCAGACCCCTGGGGTTCTACAAATAAATTCAAACCTTAAGAGAAAGAAGTAGAGGGTATCTACAGGCTCAGTGAAAGTTTATTTATTGGAGACTTAGCAGCATTTTGCACAGGAGAGAATAAAAAGGGTGTTTCCCTGCCCAAGCTCAGATGAAGCCCCTCTCCTCGGCATGTCAGGTACTGGGGGATAATAAGGTCTGGCTGAAATATAATAAAGTCCAGACACAGCCCTGGGAGGACTGCAGGAGAGCTGTGATGGTACCTGGAGGAGCTGTTTTCTTACTGAGATTATTCTTACACTGTATAGAGAAAGAGTAACCAGCTCAGAGGGGTACAAGCCTGTGGAACTGTCCTTCTGGGAGGCAGCTCACTCCTTCGCATCCGTCTGCTACGGGGCTGCAAGGAGTTATGGTCAGGTGCACTCCCAAATTAAGCAATGCTGGCAGAGCTCAAAAAGCTGAACCCCTGACAGTGGAAAAACCTGACCACTGCTGTCATAAATAATGAGGCTTCATTAGGGGTATGATTCTACGTAAAAACTTCTGCCATAAAGAATTGGCTCAGATTAGTCAAGCAAACCGCTTATTTACTGTGTGTAATGTACAGGAAGCATTACACTGATTACAGAGACATTAAATGGGTTTTTACATGGCATTACTGAGCAGCATTTGTCACAACACAGCAGAGACTTCACAGCTTTTATGTTATTCATAAACAAGTGCTGAAATGACAACAAAGTTGAGTGTGTAACAGCAAAAAAAAACAAAACAAAAACAAAAAACAACCCCCCAAACTTTCAAAAAACACTTACCTTGTGCAAAGGCAGCACCAGGAACGCTCCGCCACCGCTAGCATCTACAATTATTGCAACAAATCGGGGGTTTACTGCACAAAAGGAGCTATCCCAAGTAACACGGGAAACGCGGATGTCGTCATAACACTGATCGTTTTTCACCGCTTGGCCAAACACGTGCCGAAATTTGCTCTGTCGTACCACTCGCCTCATTGTGTCTGCGGAGAAGAGGAATGTCAAAAGAAGGAGATCAGTTAGAGATGTGGGGCCCTCCTGCTTCCCAGAAGATTCCTGCTATTCCTGCACCTTACTTTAGACCTGCTAAACTCTCAGCTGGTTTTGCCCTTTCTTTTTTTTTTTAAATAAAGTTTCAGGCTGTCTTGCACTAAACACAACTGAACTGCACTTCCAAGGGTGTTTTACAGAAAGAATTTGCTGGTTAAGCATCAGTTTTCCCATTGTAAATGTATTCTCTTATTGCAGTAAAGGAAGTTCCTAATCCTAAAAGCAGTTTTTAGACAAGTCTCCACATATTTTCGGGGATAAATCTGGTCTCAGATTGAACTTGTTTACTTTCAAGTCAGACAGGGTCCAGAAGATGTAAATAAAAATGCAAGCTCTCAAAATCCGGTGTTCCTGTGAAGTGGTTCCACATGTTCGCTAGCTTCCACGTCTTTCTTCTAACTCCAAAATCTCACTAAGAAATAATAAAATTAAGTTTCCTAGGCAGAAAGGAGTAATGGAAAGAAGCTAATGACTCAAATTAACTTAGTGTGTCTGTAGCACTTCTCCTGCTCTTGAGAAAAATAATTTTCAAGAAGGCTTGAGTTAGAATAGAGGGAAAGGGACTGGCGTGGAAAATTCCAGCACCCGTGTCTTCTTCCAGAGCTCAACACCGCGTGCGAACACCGGCCCTGGAATCGAGTGACCGTCCTGCCCTCTGCGTATGCAACCTTATAGAGCCCTCACACCTGGGAAGGGCTTTTCCCATTATCCAATTTTTCTTCTCCCTCAATCAGTGCTCGCAGGAGGAGGAGCCTCCATATAGCATCTTGCTTTTACATATGAGAGAAATATTTCTGCCCCAGTCTCTAGGGAAAGCAAAAAAAAAAAAAAAAAAAATAAGCGGAGTCCACCTCCTGTCTCGCCTCCCAGTAGGTCCCCAAGCACATGCAGAGGCTGGGAAAAATTGCTTAAGCTTCACGGAGCTTCTTGTTCCAGACCCACCAGCCTGATGCTCTCAAGTGAGAGACTCTGAATGCGGCTCCAGCACGACTCCCTCTGCACAGCCTGTCTGCCGCAAAAGTGATAAAAGGTTGTACGTCTTGTCTCAAACTGCAGAGGCTTTGCATGAAAGCGTAGCGAAAAAGAGACTTCAGAATGATCACTGTTTTGTAGTCTCAGAAGGTTTTTTTTTTAAAAAAAAAAAAAAAAAACAGCAACAAAAAGGTGAATAACTAGAGGAAAGTGCTCATCAGAGCTGGGAAATAAGCAGTCACATAGTATGTTTGAAGAGGAGAAAAATGTTATAATTAACGTAGCAGACAGCTATCAAGTGAAATACTCCAGTTTCTGCATAGATAAGAAAAAATAATCAGAGTATTTGTTTTTCCCCCTCTCCCCCCTGACGCGTTTGGGAATTGGCCTTCGTCACTGTGGCTCCGGTCGGGGAAGCTGCTGCCGAGGCACAAGTGCCATCAGAGCCCCCAGCGTGACGAGGTACCCATCCGGGGGAAAAGCTGACAGACACGGGTGATTAAATGCACCCATTATGGGGTCATTTTTGCAAGGGGGACATCTGTCCCCAGGTGTGGGGTGGAGGCCAGTGACGGGCCAAGCAGATGGCGATGGCTTTCAGCCACCCATGTCCTGACCTCTAGGAGCTGGTGGCGGAGGTGGGAAGGGCTCTGAGTAGGGGGGTTTTCCCCGCAGCGTTTCTCACGGTGCCATTTCTATACTGTTAAATCCCCCCCTTTAACTCGGTCATTTCAAAGCTACAGAAGTGCCACAAACACCATTTTATTAAAAACTCAGATTGAGAAAAACGGGTGTAGTTTTTAAATGCAAAATTTTATGAGTGTTTAAGATGTCCACATTAAAAAAGCTATATATAAATTATTAGCCATTACCATCACATTATAGAGGAACTTAGGCTTCTTCTGTCCTTAACATCAGTTAATAGAACTGCGTAATACACTTTCTGTCAACTATTTAACTGACAGCACAGACAAAAGGCCTGTCCCACACTGGACACACGCAGAGACACTGAAGTGCAGTGAGAAGTCATAAACCAGGAGCTCTCTCCAGCTCCAGGCACCAGGTAAGAGTGCAAAATCCGAACACCGGTATCTCTTCACGCTCGTAACACACAGCAGCACCCAGAGATCTCACATTCAGCTTTGCAACTGGCTGGAGCAGGGGCAGCCAGGAGCTTTCATGCAATTGGACTATGAAATATTAGGAGGAAACCATGATGCACATGGGACAGATAATTAATTGCCTGGGTGTGAAGTGCACCCATTTGGGGGGTGGGGAATAGAACTGCTCTGCTCACAACGTGATGCGGGTTTTTGTTTTGTTTTCAGGCAAAGGAAGAGATGGAGTTATTCAAAATGGATGGGAGAAACTCTTGCTGAAGCAGATGGTACGTCGTGCCTCGAGGTGGAGCGGTGCCAGCACCGGCGGCTCGGTGGTCTCCCCAGGGATGCACACGTGGCCGTCTCCCTGGCAGGAGGGTGGGTGGGTGGGGCAGGGCACAGCTCCATCCAGGGACACCAGCACCATTCCCTACGTGGATTCAGGGCAGGATCCCAGTCGAGCTCCAGCCCCGCTGAATCATGCACAAAGAAAAGGTGAATTTCAACTCAAAGATCCCCCGAAAGACAAGAAACATGCTGTACTATCAAGTTGGCCGAGGCACAATTAAGGTACATCATAAAAAAAATGCAGTTCCACACCCAGTTACTAATTTATTGTGTAGACTCATTCAGAAACCTGTCAGACATTTTCACCCCGAGAAGGCTCCTCCCGGTTTGGGCGCTGCATCCGCGGCTTCGACTCTGCCAAGTCCTGCGGCCAGCACCCTGCAAGAGCAGCATCACCCCCCATCCTTCCTCTCTCCATCCCTCCCTCCCAGCCACCTCCATCCCTCGCTGGCAGGCGAGGTGACACCAGGCCACCCCAGAGAAGCAGGGAGGGATGTTCTTGCAAAGCCTGGCGTGCTGCAACACTGCAGGAAGCTTGCGACCAGCTCAGCCCTTTCCTTCTTGAAAACCTTGCAGCAAAACCCTACTCCTTCATCTGCCTGGGGTATGGAACTCATCTAGGAGAAGGGAGAAGTCCTCTGCTTTGTGCACAGTCTGTTTTCATGACTGTTCAGCCACTGGCAGTGTTCCCATCCCACTGTGCATCAAGATTAAAATCGGATGGTTTCGAAGAAGGTAAAGCAAGGGCTTAAACCTGCCTTGCTGAGTTAACACGCAGCAAAGTGCCCGGTGTCAACGTATCATGTACCCAGGGGTTTTGCAATTTGTCTGATTTAATGCTGGGAATGTGGATATGATAGCTAAGAAGAAGGATTAGTTGTATGGCTTGGATAATTTCACCTTTCCTTTGCTTGATCAATACCAGACCACCACCAAAACAAAAACCAAAAAAAGCTTATCTCAAATATCAGATACTAGGAGGTCCGCCACCCTTTTCACTCTAATGGAAGAGAAACACCCCTTATCCTGTGGTGAAATTCTACTACTTTATTTCCCTCATTTTTACCATTTGATTGCAAAGGGTAATTTTTCGGTTTTCTATAAATGACTTTTAAAAAATGCAAAGAGTCAGATGTACCCAAAAATACCCTTATTTGTTCCAAACAGATTTATTCAAGCACACCTTCGCTGCCCTCTTCCCCACCTACAGCTCATCATCCTTAGCAGGATCTCTCTGATGAACACATGGTGAGCAGCCTCCAAGTCCTCATTTCCATAGCAAAGGGAGTGATGCTTGGCGTTGGATCACAGCCATTTTGATCTGGCTGCTCTCCAAAGCGAAGGGGGGGGGGTTGGAAACGCACAGGCTGTAGTTATAAAGAGCAGTGCTTGTGGAGCTTTCAGCACACTGCAGAAAGCGAGCAGGTGAAAAACAAAACAGGGTTAGCTTGATCCTCAGCACCCCAAAAAAAAGGTCATCTTCTCCCTACCCCAGCCTCTCATTAAAACCTGAAGAGCATTTAGTATCCTCATTTGTTTCTTAATGCTGCAGTGCAAAGGATCCCCTCCTCCACCATCTGCAAGAAAACCACAGCTGAATTTGGTGGCCACAGGTTCTCTCAGCGGGGCCACGTTGCAGCCATCCATGCAGGCTGGGGCTCCCACAGCAGCCACTTGTAGGATTATCAGGTGAGACCCCAACCTCTGAGATGATTCACCGTCAGGACAGGCTGATTCAGCCTCACTTGCAAAAGTGTGGCCCAGGCCCCTTGGGAAGTGACTTTGGGAATAGCCAAGTGGGCAATAAAGTGCATCCCTGGTCAGTGGGGCTGTGCTAGGGATTTACTCATAGGAAGGGGACTTGGAGCAAGAGTTTTAAAAAAGGAAGTTAATTAGATCATTGTCTCTGCTGTTAAATCTTAGCTAAGGAGCTGGAACGATCTCCATACACTTGCTAGACAGGAAATATTTTCTCTTTTTTTGTAAAGTACAAATTTGGAGGATTTAAAACCTCACAACTAGGAGTTGAAAGGAGTTTAAATTTTGCCAGAGTTACAGCCCTCAGCAAAATTAAAACAGAAGCGTTAGACACCCTGCAAAGACCACTACAATGGAAGTGCTGACAGATCTACGACTATGCTGATCTCCTGGATCCCGCTCCATGACACACGGCATCTTACACGTCCTGGTGGAGACACAGGAAAGAGCCTTCAAAACCCCTCATTTTTTCCCCCCTCAAAATGTCAAGTGACTTCCAGCTGAATTTTACCAAACATTTAACTTCATCTCCCGCTGTCTGTGCCCGCTGTACAGCTCAGCCACTGGCCTTTGTGTCAGCATTTAAATGGACCTTAGAAATGCAGGATGCCGTCAGCCATGCTTGCACAGTGACACTTTTCATTCCTTTTCTTTCTGATCTCCCATCATGATGTGTCACAAGAGTTACCATGAGTTTGCCCATTTTCCTGTTTATAAAGGATTTATCTGTCTCAAGAATCCAACAGATGTATTTC